AGGGGATGAAGGTGCTGAGGTACCGGTAACATGGTAGAGGGATGTAGGGTGAGTAGGGCTTTCCTTGTTTGTCTTTGTTTGTCTATTTATTATTTTCTTCTTTTCCTTACAACACTGTCAACTTCTGGCTCTCACAAGTTCAGGGATTTAGCATCAAAAGTTATAAAAAAAAAAAAATCAACAGATTATTTTTATTTTTATTTTTATTTTGGGTCACTGTGACAGGAACCTCAGCATTGAAATCACTTGGCCTCGTACTTTTGTTCAGATCTTGCTCAGAGGGTAGGCGGAAATGTGGTTTGTTAGTACCTGTATATCAGCTTTTGGATTTGGAGGAAGGGTTTTTTTTCTTTCATTCTTTATCCCTTGATTTTACATTTACACTTACGGTCTGACCAGGGAGTCTCATACTTGATTTGAAGTGAAATAGTTGTTGTATATGTTGTGTAATATCTATAGTTCTTGGGTGTTATTTTTCCAGTTTATCAATATGTTTGTGAAAGTAACATAAGACTGGAAACCTGTGTTCCATTAATTGATATATGTAAGCGTTATCCATTACTTCAGACATGGTTTCAGCATTGAATATTCCAAGTGGTGTGATCCCATTAATATCAACTTAGGCTAGTGTGAATGCCAACTGTTGCAGGTGGATGGACGAGATAGCCAACCTTCAGACAGCAAGTCAAAGTGACCTCATAAACCAGAGTTTCAGCCAGTTACAAAATGTCCACTTTTTTTCAGTTTTGAATGGAAGTTCCCCCTTGAAGTTAATAAGTTTTAGGAGCTCGTATTTCAAGACTCTGTCACAAATATAAGTATAATTTGCCTTGTTCTTTTCTAGGCTAGTATATACTAACTTTGTACCTACAGTGATTTTAGAATGAAGCTGAAAATATGGTAAATATTTCATTTTTATTACAACCTCTTAGTGAAAAGTGCGTCTCTGTCAGCAGCATGAACGAAGTGGAATCCTTTTTGATGACAGTTTTCATTATTTTAATGAAAGACATGTCACCAGACACAATTTTCCCAGTGTTTCAATTTATATTTAAGAATAAACCACTAGTTCTTTTTATCACATGTTTGATAACTGATGCCCTTTCCTCCCCTCATAAACAAAGAACAATAGTGTGTGAAATACCTAAATGGAGTGACATACCCTATTCATGCTATGAGGCTAATGTAGGATTTATTTTTGTCCTTTCCTAATTTTTTTTAGTATTTGTTTATAGTTCTTGTGATAACTGTTTTCCTTGTAGTCATGAGTATTTTCTGGTCTTTCTAGACTTCCATTTTTTTTTGTTGATATTTTATACAGATTCTGTATCCACTGTCCTGGTCTAGCTGCACCTTTCCTTGATGTCTCTATCTGCACGGAGACTGTGGTTTCCTCACCATAGGGAAAGTTTTGTTGAGATAGTAGTATTTGATCCATTCCAGTACATGGCCTTGCTTTTTGCAGTATTACCTTATTTTCAGTATTTCATGAGATGGAATGGTTCTCCTTACTTTCCATTTCACACACTTATCTTTCTTATTTTTCCATCAGTAGAATGATTTACAGTAAGATTCTTTTTGACACTTTGTTTATGGATTGCATTAATGCATTAGCACGATAATGTCTCACAAGCTGTCGTATGAAGATTTATTTTTTATTATTATTATTTTTTTTTCAGGGGAGCATCATTGTGAAGCCTAAAAAGAACTTGATTCCTTATCAAAAGATCTGTTTTTTTCAGGGCTCTCACTGTAAGAAATGGTTGGAAAAGTAACTTAACTTCTACAGTACTTGTTAATTTGTTCATTCAATATTTTGCTTGCAAACATAAAAGGATAAATGACTTGAGAACTGAGAGGGCCTGTGATACAGCTCACTTTGTGTGAAGCCATACATAGATTTGTTTGCTCTGAAGGACAGAAATGTTTTTGCTCCGAGCTGAGCCATTCAAGAAAACATTCTGCCAGTGGTGATGATAATAGACAAACTTGTGCAATTATGAAATTCCAAAACATATAAAATATGAAGATAGAAAATTATGCAATACTTGCACAAGGCATCTCTTTCTTGAGGCAAGTCTTTTAAAATATTGTAGAGTTGAACATAAACAAATGCATGGCTAGATTTCTCTTAATTTATCAAGAGTATGAAATAGCTTTCAACCACTGATATTCATTGCTTGACCACATAGGATACTTTGATATCAGAGCAAATATTAGGTTAGGCATCTAACTCTTTCCTTCATTATCAATCCATAATGACAAGTGGCATTCTTATTTGCCACCAAACAAGACTGCATGGCTGGAAAGTGACATAAAATGCTCTCAAGATTTATCCAGTCTCTTTATTCACTGGAAGAAAAGTGTCTGTCTTCAAACCTTAGAAATATTGGTACCCAATGACATGAAGATATCACATATTTGCTTAGAACAAATTTATGAAGTTCAAAAAGGGAAAGAAAAAGGTTGTACCATGAAGTTTAAAAAAGGATAATATACAACTTGGTTTTACTTCAAACATGAAATTTTATTGAAGACTAGATAGGTATAATTTACAAATGTCCATCCATCATTTCATTAAGCACTTCCAAAGATGACTTGTTAAATATTGGTTACTCATATCTTTTCTTTGGCATATTATTCCTTTCTTAGCACTATGGAGGAGCAAACAAAAGGGTAAAGTCAATCATTAGTAGCAAGACAACTTCATTGCTATACAATCCATTCACTAAATGAAGGTTGGTATACCACCCATACAGTATATTTCTATGTTAAATACTTATAAAAATGAATATACAGACATATTTACAATCTCTTCTTTTAGCATTCACTGATATATAGTTAATGAGAAATGGAATTTAACAATAATGACACTACATACCACTGCAATTCTGCTGAGGATACTTAAATTGTAATCATACATATTTTCATTACAGTTCAATAATAGGTTTCAAGTGGCTCAGAAACACCTTAGACAAAAGAGATCAAATCAATGCTGCTTTGATCATAACGTCACACATTTTTAACAAAACAATAGAGGCAAACCTGATACAAGTTATTATGCAATAAAAAAAAGAAAGAAAAAAGTTCAAAAACCATTTGTCATGCTGTAGTTATTATTTACATAAACAGAATGAAGAGCATATTGAAAAAGAATATACATCTTTATCCTTATAGGTTGAAACAGGGATAATATTTACAGGTATACATAGTGAAGATTACTTGGACCATACATAAGAACCGTTCACTTTTAGTTTTCAAAGCAATTTTAACAAATTACTGTTCCAATTCAACTCCTGATCCTGTACAAAATAAACCGTATTTTACTAACATACAGCCTATGATATCCTCCGACTAATCTCGAACACGTCAAAGTATGAATGCCACGGGGAAATGTATATACCAGGATTTCAGCAGAACTGAATATTATTATTCCTTGAAAAATAAACTTTTGCTAGCTTTTCAAACCACCAGAAAGGTTAACTGTTTAATCTCACCTAAATCGTACATTCACTCATGCGCATGCATAAACATGCACGCATACATACATACATACATGCACAGACACAATACAAAATACAAAGTATATAAAGTACATGATGAGCACAGGCATTAATTTTCTTCTCGGACCAAAATACCTTTTTCTTTACAATTTCCAAATAAGTTAATATTGCTAGCTACTTTTCTTCTAATTTGGTAATATCTATCATTCCTCTCTCTAATGCATTTTAACATTAAGAGGTATAAATATATAAGCCAGACTTTTCATCATACAACTATTTCACCTCTACACTTCCAGCAAAATACTGATATACTAGTGAATGACTCCATGATATAAAATGAATCCATACAAATATACAGATTATTATTTTTGTATTATTATTATTTACCGCAATCAAGTACTTTATATTTTCTCAAGGTAATTAGCCGGGCAAAACCCTTCTTGACCACGAAACTTGCATGTCCACCATCCAGAAATATCTGCAAAAAGAGAAACAGGATTAAAAACAGATGAAGTGAAGTGGTACAAAGATGAAGAGAAACATACCCAATAGTTAGAGAAACACAAAAACAGTCTCTCTCTCTCTCTCTCTCTCTCTCTCTCTCTCTCTCTCTCTCTCTCTCTCTATCACTGTGGCTTTTTCAAACCAAATTCTTTTAAGTTTCCATTCTACTGTGATTATAACATGAAATATATTTATTTATGTAATTAAATTTTTCTGCTGCATCAACATCTAAGGTTATTGGCGGCATATAGATATGGAGAGGGTGGGGCTTGGGGAAAAAAACCCAGGTAAAGTTTTTTGGTTCAATAAGGCAATGTTTGTGGATTTCCAGAATGTTCAATGGTCAAAGCAAACAAATGTACCAGACATCAAAGGTTACACAGCATTGTGGGAATATATTGTTGGGAAAAGGTAAATATGAGCTAAAGATTTGGTTAAGTGGACAGAAGAAGGGGATGAGGAAGAGAAGGAAAAAGGAAAGAAGAAAAAACCCTGCAAAATTAGTTGAGGTGAGGGCTGAGGTCCAAGATAGGGGTGATGCCCTATATTGGGCCTCAGTCCCCGTCTCCTAAGCCCACCCAGGATAGCAATAGGCAAGGATGGGGGGGGGGGGGAGAATGATCATGTTAATGTACATAAATGCAGATTAACATGATCTCATTAACCAAATGGAACTTGGAAATAATTAAAATGCACTGTGCCAGGATTATAATGAAGGCATCTGTTTGTCCAATAAATGCAGAAAAAAAAAAGGTTTAGAAGGCTGGAACTCACAAACTAGTGCCTTTGAAGCCATAAAACGCTATGCCTATACAGCACACGAGACTAAGCAGCTTCTACTGTCATGGCATGTCAGTGCCAACTGGAATTCAGGCCCACTGTGGCATATTCCATAAAGATGTCATTTGCAGGCATTACGTTATAACTTAAAAAATGCACACTGATACATGAATATAAAGCTGCTAAGAAAAATGCCAATGTGACTTACCTTCCTGTACTAACACCATAATATCTCCTTCACTAAATGTCAGCTCATCTACATCACTTGCATCATATCTGAAAACAAAAATAATTTAATGAGAAAGGTATAAGAATTTCTATTCTAAATGTGCATAGGGAAAAAAAAAGAGAAGAAGAAGAAGAAGTTTATCTGCCTGATTATAGTCAATACAAATATGAAAAAAACAAATTGAAAAATAAAACATTTTAAAACTGGAGACCAGGAGGGAATGTGTAGATACCCACTCCACTGATTCTAGGTCATCAATCTTACTTACACAATAGCTCAATAAGTGCTTAATCACCAAGGAATTAATTCCATGGCCTACCTGATCTCACCTGTTTACTATTATTATTATTTTTTCTAATGATGATGATGATGATGATGATAAATATTCTTATCATTAGTAATTATGATAAGAATACTAACATACATAATACTGATAGCAATAATAGCACATTGGAAGAAGAAAAAGAAAAAACTGAAAATTCAAGGAAGAGGGAAAACAGATCAAAGGTCAGTTCAGCCTAGTAGCCAACTTCTAACTGACCATGAAGTTAAACTGACAAAACTGATGAAAAAACAAACAAACTAGTATGGAGAGTAGTACAGAAAAGCACAATATTGTCATTACCCATAGAGTGCCCTGACTTGAGGTACTGTAGGTTTGGGTCTATTAATAGGTGGTTTTGCAGGTAGACTTGCTGGGAGTCTGTTCACACTACGTAAGCTTCCATTCCCAATGCTCGGCTGATTGTCTGGACAAGGGTCACTAGGTGGCGGAGGCGGCTGCACAGCTTGAATTGGAGGACTACCCATTCTAGGCAATCTAAAGGCAGGAGGTCCTCCTCCAGGATTCAGTGGCATTCTTGCTACAGGAGGACGTGGGAATCCAGGATTTGTCACTGGCTGAGCAAGTGGGGGTCGGAATTGTGGTCCCACTGCTCCTCTAGGTCTTGGGGAAGCTCCTGTTAAGCCAGGGGGTTTTGGGGCCGGTCCAGAGGGCCTTGTAATGAGACTTCCACTGGGGCTCCTGTTTACATGATTCCTAATGGGTGGCTGCAGGTTTCCTCTTGAGCCAGGGACATTATTACTCTTGGATCTCATCTCATTGGCAAGAATTCTTATATCCGGAGTTATCACTTGTATACCAGGCCCTGGTAGAGAGAGAGAGAGAATGCTACTGCTATATATCTTTTATAACATCAGTGCAAAGATTTATAGAAATAGATGGTATCCATCACTGCATTTTTTTTTAACAGTTTTTACTTTAGCAATCAAGGGTTCCATTAAAAATATATGGTAAGAAAACTACAAAATAAGTTTTTGTACTGATACCAGATATTGAAGTTACAGAAAGAAGCAATCTAACATAGTATTTTCATTTAAAAGCATGAAACTAACATACATATAGCATCAAACACTCAAAGATAAGTCTTGGTATCTTTACAGCCTACATACAAATCTGCATTACGTTTTACTATAGTCTTCAAGAATAATGTCATACCTGCAAATTGGACAGAATCCTATGCAAAATAGGAGGAAAAACAAATTTATCTGATTGTGTTTCATTTACTCACTTGTCCTTCCAAGTTAACTTTTTACATAATTGTTTTGAATACATCTTTTTCATAGTCTTTTGATGATATAGATAAAGGCAAAAGAACAAATTAAATATGGATGAATGAGGAGCTACACTTATTGAATATCAAAATACACTATAGCAATATAAAAACAAAAATAAAGACAGGCAGACAGACACAGACACACACACATACTCTCACTCACTCACTCAAGCATTCACTCACTCAAGTACATGAAACATCACTCACTTGAAGTGGAAGATAGACCATGTGCAATCTTGACAGACAGCGTAGAGCCAGACGACGAGAAGAGGGGTTCATCTGTGGTCCCGTCTGTGAATCTGACTCGCCTCGTCCCCCCACCACCCCATCCAGTTTTCTTCACTCGGAAGTCGAAGCTAAAAGGATTTTATGAAATTAAGGATTTTAACAATAATAAAAATAGTAACAGTAGTAGTAGTAACAATAATAGGAAGAAGAAAGAGCAGTAACATGAATACTACTAATAAATTATCTATAAAAAATGAAGAGAGCTTAAAGTCTTTTGAGGATGATGATAAAATTTCATTGACAGTTCACATTATCATTTCTCAATGGTTGTGTACCAAGCCCCTTCACAGAAAGATATTCAGTAACACTTTGAGAAGAAACAGATTGAAAAGTTACATTTGTACAAGGCCTTTACTGCTGTGAAATATATAATATAGTAACCTTGTTAAGCTTGATGAGCAGAGTAAGAAACAAAAATACATGATTTCACAGACATATATAGTGGTCACATGAATCAATGCCACTTGCTCTATAAAATAATTATTTTTCAGTCACCCTTCATGAATGAATTTTCTTTTTTTTTTCCAGTCTTTAAAAGCAAAAAATGAAATCTAAAATTACATTACATACCTGTTAATGAAGTTCAGGGGCAGCTCTCTGTTATATCTTTCTTTTAATTTGTTGTTGAGAACCATCAGAAATTCTGTCTTGAAGCGTATTTCCAGCAACGACTCATAGTCATTCCGGACATGGATTAGAACCAAGTCATCTTGGTATGTGGACAGAGTAGCCTGGAAGAAAAATTTAAATATTGTCTAAAATCAAGAGAAGAAAAGAAAAAGAAAAAGGGGAAAAACTATGCCTGATCAACTTTTGATGACAATATTTGATGGAGAGTAATCTACCAATTGGGCAGTATCATATGCACTAGCATGTGCAGTGTCAGCCGTGAGTTCTGAGAGAGAGAGGGAGAGAGGGAGAGAGGGAAAGGGAGAAGGAGAGGGAGGGTGAGAGAGTGAGAGAGGGAGGGGGGGGAGAGGGGGAGGGGGGGAGGGGGGGAGAGAGAGGGAGAGAGGGAGAGAGGAGAGGGAGAGAGAGAGAGAGAGAGAGAGGAGAGGGAGAGAGAGAGAGGAAGAGAGAGAGAGAGAGAGAGAGAGAGAGAGAGAGAGAGAGAGAGAGAGAGAGAGAGAGAGAATATATTAAGACCACCAAACAATAAGAATGAACTTCAAAAACATGACTATTACATGCATCCTATCATCAAGGCTCAAGGAAGCAAAAAATACTTATTTTTTTGAGCTTACTTGAGAGAGATTTTCCAAGTCAATTTTTCTCTTGATTACATCCTTGATCTGACCTTTTTCAGGCCCTTTCTTGACCTGCATTCGCCCAATCAAGTACAAGTGGGATTTGGTCAAGATGAGATCTCTTTTGGTCTTCTTAAATCTACGGTCGAATTTGTCAACTGTCAGCGCAAACTCCACCTGAAATACACGTGAAAGAAGGTTAGATTGTTTGTCTTTCCCTTTTCCATGATTATGTATCATTAGTTACAGAAAAGAATAAATCAAACTTTTTAATCAAAGCAAAAACAATAATAACAAAAGCAATAACTAGGAGTCCATTATTATTAATTCATTTGATAAATTTTATAACCAACAGTATGCTATGTATGGAAATATAATTGGCAACTTAATTTCCTGGATTTTTCAAAATGTCCACTTTCAAGGACATTTTCAAAATGGACCAATGAGCTCAGTTTAAATGAATAACTCGCATCCATGACACAATGACATGCAACAAATGCTCTCACCTTATCTCTCCTTGGAATCAGTGCTGTGAGGCCTGGTTTGTACTCAACACCAATATAATCTCCGTAGAAGTTTCTGTTCAGGGAATTCCTACGACGCTCCTTCCTGTTCACTAGAAGGTCACTAGCTGCCACTTTCTCCTTTAGATACCTCTGCTTACTATAGAAAGAGGACAAAGGCAGTCAATAAATATGTATTCATCAATCACCAAAGCACAATATTAATTAAAATATTGTACGTAACATACAAGTCATGCAATCCATGACTGGAAGACTTTCCTTGTTATCAAAAAGAACACTCCAGATGCTATTCAATCTGAGATACACAATGTATTCTCAATTTATCATTTTATACAAGTACAGCATTCACCAATTTTATGGGCATAATATGTAGCACATAAGTATGTATTTTACAACAAAAACTTCAAATTTGGCAGAAACAATTGCAAAATCAAGTGTACCTGAAGTATTTTCTGAATGCCTTCTGGATGACTCTTGCATAGTGGTCAAACTTGCGCTCTCTTGATTCTTCTAACATGTAGAGTGACTCAGGGTCCTTTGGATAGATTGTATATGTTAGACACACAAAAAATGAATCAAATTAAATAAATGCATAAGTGCTATGAATCCTATCCTCTTCCTCCAATCACCATAACTCTATTCCTAAAATTTTGAATAATAAAATACTAAAAGCACTTATTTGAAGAACTAATGAAAAGGTCCCAACACAATTAAAAATTACATATCCAAGTCTGTGCAATTCCTAATCTGCAATGCATGGAGAATGACAAAATGCTCCCTGAGAGCACACACCAAAACTAATAATCACTTACCTTCACAAATATTTTACTTCGGCCGATCTGGTACTGCGCGGGATCCATGTTGACGCTGCGCATTATAACATGTATGCCTTCTGTGGGCTCCCCATGCCAAGCTGGCCACGTCTCCTTGGTCAGGATGGCGTACCTGTGCAGGAACTTCTGGTAGGGACGGCGGTATGCGAATCCTGCTCTCTTGACTTTGATGTTCTCTTTTAAACCCAAATATTCAACCTAGAAAAGGGAGAGAACAAGTGACATGACTCAAAGAAGATTATGAAAACAAAAACAAAGATAAAGAGAGGTAAAAAAATGTATATTATTTATTCACTAATTCACTAATTTGAAAAAAGGACAACCTATCTCTCATTTCAAAATATCTGGCGTTCTGTCCCACTTTTGGAGATTCACCAGAGGGATTTCTTACCTGATGCTTAACCATTTGTTCGTCCCAGTCGTGGGGCTTCTTGGTTTCATTGGGCTTGATGCAGCGAATATAGTGAGGGACGCACTTCATCAGCGTCGTGACTAGCTCATTGGCCTGAGTGCGGATCTTCGTGCCTGCTGTGGTGGGCCGCGTCTTGGACCCCTTTTGGAGCACATCGGGGAAGAGGTTGCGGATGAATGTGTTGGTGCTTCCTTGCATGACCTGTAAGGAGAATGTGATTAAAAATTGCAATTAAAACAAATAAAAGAACTATATACCTTGACTGTTCTACATGCTTAAATTTGAGAAAATCTGTAACACTGTACTTTTGATCTGGTTTTATTTCCTTCTGATCTATTTACATTATGAATGATTTAATAAAAACAATAATAAACATTAAAAATAAGACAGTTCAAGTAATAAGCATTGTAAATAATCTATAAAAATATAACATTCCACTGATCATAAAAAATAAATCATTTTGAAAGATAGAACATTTCATACAATAAAGAACACAGAAATCTAAAAGGTACCTCAATAATGTCAGTAAAAAGCACATCTCTATTCTTCTCACAGAAGTTTTCAACATGGTAGGAGACGTTTCCTGCGTAGTGCTTAATGGTGAAGCCGTGGTTGAAAGGCTGGTAGTGAGGATTGCTCCCGACCTGTAATGCAACAAAAAATTATCAAAAATTCTAGTACAAAAATAAACTTGACAAAACCAATATGGAACCTCCTCATATGTCTCAACAAAAACACTATGTGATGCAGAGGGATGGAGGGAGGGAGGGAGGGAGGAAGGAAGAGAAGAAGAGAGAGGAAGAGAGGGAGAGAGAGGAAGAGAGGGAGAGAGAGGAAGAGAGGGAGAGAGAGGGAGAGAGAGGGAGAGAGAGGGAGAGAGAGGGAGAGAGAGGGAGAGAGAGGGAGAGAGAGGGAGAGGAGAGGGAGAGGGGAGAGGGAGAGGGAGAGAGCAGGAGAGAGAGGGAGAGAGAGGAAGAGAGGGAGAGAGAGGAAGAGAGGGAGAGAGAGGGAGAGAGAGGGAGAGAGAGGGAGAGAGAGGGAGAGAGAGGGAGAGAGAGGGAGAGAGAGGGAGAGAGAGGGAGAGAGAGGAAGAGAGGGAGAGAGAGGGAGAGAGAGGGAGAGAGAGGGAGAGAGAGGAAGAGAGGGAGAGAGAGGAAGAGAGGGAGAGAGAGGGAGAGAGAGGAAGAGAGGGAGAGAGAGGGAGAGAGAGGAAGAGAGGGAGAGAGAGGAAGAGAGGGAGAGAGAGGGAGAGAGAGGGAGAGAGAGGAAGAGAGGGAGAGAGAGGGAGAGAGAGGAAGAGAGGGAGAGAGAGGGAGAGAGAGGGAGAGAGAGGAAGAGAGGGAGAGAGAGGAAGAGAGGGAGAGAGAGGGAGAGAGAGGAAGAGAGGGAGAGAGAGGGAGAGAGAGGGAGAGAGAGGGAGAGAGAGGGAGAGAGAGGGAGAGAGAGGGAGAGAGAGGGAGAGAGAGGGAGAGAGAGGGAGAGAGAGGGAGAGAGAGGGAGAGAGAGGAAGAGAGGGAGAGAGAGGGAGAGAGAGGGAGAGAGAGGGAGAGAGAGGGAGAGAGAGGGAGAGAGAGGAAGAGAGGGAGAGAGAGGAAGAGAGGGAGAGAGAGGGAGAGAGAGGGAGAGAGAGGGAGAGAGAGGGAGAGAGAGGGAGAGAGAGGAAGAGAGGGAGAGAGAGGGAGAGAGAGGAAGAGAGGGAGAGAGAGGAAGAGAGGGAGAGAGAGGGAGAGAGAGGAAGAGAGGGAGAGAGAGGGAGAGAGAGGAAGAGAGGGAGAGAGAGGGAGAGAGAGGAAGAGAGGGAGAGAGAGGGAGAGAGAGGGAGAGAGAGGGAGAGAGAGGGAGAGAGAGGGAGAGAGAGGGAGAGAGAGGGAGAGAGAGGGAGAGAGAGGGAGAGAGAGGGAGAGAGAGGAAGAGAGGGAGAGAGAGGGAGAGAGAGGAAGAGAGGGAGAGAGAGGGAGAGAGAGGGAGAGAGAGGAAGAGAGGGAGAGAGAGGGAGAGAGAGGGAGAGAGAGGGAGAGAGAGGGAGAGAGAGGGAGAGAGAGGAAGAGAGGGAGAGAGAGGGAGAGAGAGGGAGAGAGAGGGAGAGAGAGGGAGAGAGAGGGAGAGAGAGGGAGAGAGAGGGAGAGAGAGGGAGAGAGAGGGAGAGAGAGGGAGAGAGAGGGAGAGAGAGGGAGAGAGAGGAAGAGAGGGAGAGAGAGGGAGAGAGAGGAAGAGAGGGAGAGAGAGGGAGAGAGAGGAAGAGAGGGAGAGAGAGGAAGAGAGGGAGAGAGAGGGAGAGAGAGGAAGAGAGGGAGAGAGAGGGAGAGAGAGGAAGAGAGGGAGAGAGAGGGAGAGAGAGGGAGAGAGAGGGAGAGAGAGGGAGAGAGAGGGAGAGAGAGGGAGAGAGAGGAAGAGAGGGAGAGAGAGGGAGAGAGAGGGAGAGAGAGGGAGAGAACTTAATGAGTATTCTATAACATGCCTCTACTCCAGTTTCAAGTGCAAAACTCTAGGTAAACAAATAAAAAATATATGTCAGTAAATATTCAGTCGATATTCCCAACCACTGATATAGAATTTGAAGCACAATACCTCAGCCTTGTATTCCTCTTGTTCACTCTTCAGCGTCAACTCAATGAAAATCTGCTGCAGTTTCTCATTCACATAGTTGATGCAAAATTGCTCAAATCCGTTGCGGCCAAATATTTCAAAACCGTAAATGTCGAGGATGCCAATGCTGAACAAGTTAGCATCGGTAACCATAGCTTTATTAACAGTCTGAAAAGAAATTCAACCTTAATTCATTAAATGTCACTTGTTTTTATTTAGGTATTGAGCTTCTAGATTAACTGAAAAAAAAAAAATAATAATGATAATACTAACAAAAAATATATATACACAACCATTATCTATACCACTTATCAACTCACTTCCTTTACAATTAAATATATCACTCCAAAATAACTATATCTTTTGTAAACTGACTTAAATAAAAATGGAGCCCACATCTACATAGAAAGTGCTCTGTTAAAATTCCTTACCTCAACAATATAATCAAACATCCTAGAATAGAGTCCTTTACACCAGGCGTCACGAGCAAACTGAGCCTGTTCCAGATTGAGCGTGACGTCCACTCTCTCCGACTTCCCTCCCCACTTGCTGTCGAACACTCGGCTGGTAAGTTTCTGGCCTAATTTCTGGGCGTCTATCCCCAGGAGGTAGGCAGGGAACGCCAGATCTTAATACAGAAATTGGGCATTAAAGATTGAAACTTTTAAAAGAAAGAAAGAAAAGAAAAGAAAAGAAAAAATTTCTTCTACTGTATAACAATGGGAAATATAAAATTTATATCAACAATTATTAAGACACTGCTCTTACATGCCGCATCAGCTATAGTGGCTGCATTGTTCTGCTCTGTGAAAGAAATGTTGCCCATGTGTAGAATGGCTGCAACAACAGACATGATGTCCATCTGCGTCTCTTCTGCTATGCCCATCACTGACATTGCTGGTAGGGGAAACAACCTGCTTTAAAATTGCACGTAGCAATGACATATATGTAAGGCACATCTATAAGGAAACAATATTTGTGTCCCAAGGTACACAATACCACCTTACCATTGAGTGTTCCTTGGAATTCGTACGCATCATTGGTGCCGTCCACCTTGTACACACCACTCTGGCTGAGGTAGGAAAAATAATCCGGTGTGGATATCCCCAAGTTGTTTTTCATGTCACCCGTTGCTCCTGCACAAAGCTGATAGAAGATGTGGAAGTTGCGCTCGCCGTCATTGAGCGAGTGAACCCTAGACTTCTCCAGCAGGAAATTTGAAATCTTACCTCCAAGAGGTTCACCACCACTAGAAAACTGAATTTCTATATATTTTCCCTGAAAAATTAAAGTCTGTTACATGTATATCTTACACAAAGGTACAAAAAAGTCCATTTTATTCTGTATGCTTATTCTATACTATCACAAAAAAAAAAAAAAAAAAAAAAAAAAAAAAAAAAAAAAAAAAAAAAAAAAAAAAAAAAAAAAAAAAAAAAAAAAATGTAAAAAAAAAAATCCACATAATCTAAACATGTTAAAACTCCACAGTACTTACAAATCTTGAGGAATTGTTGTTTCTGGTTGTCTTTGCATTTCCAAAGGCTTCTAGCAAAGGATTTGACTTCAGTATAATATCTTTAACATGTTGGACTCTCTGTCCACCTCCAGATATGCGAGTTATATAGGTCATTATAAATTTTGCAGAGACAGTCTTTCCTGCTCCAGATTCTCCGCTGGAAAAGCATAATAATTTACTGATGATATGAAAAGGAATGGATTCTGAGATAAGAAGAAATATATTGAATTTAAAGCTAAATACAAATCTATATAATTTCTAACTCACACTTTTCAGTATATCATTATACAATTCTTCTATTTTTCACTACTCTTTCTGTCTGGTTATACACCACTTACCCTCTTCTAGTCTATTTGCCTATCTAATTTATTTCACTTTTCATTTTCTAATTCCTAGCCTCTCTCATAAGTCCAGATCTTCAGCAAACCGAACATTAAGAATGAGTGGACCTTTCCTCACTGGCTGTTAACCTATCAATTATCACTTGTTACTAACCTTATGATGACACACTGGCTATCTGAATCAATCAACATGTTCCGGTACATTGTATCAGCAATAGAATATATGTGCGGCGGAACCTCATACTGTGCCGCACCCTGATACATCTCAATCTCCCGTTCTCCAAAGTATGGCAGTTGTTTGAAGGGGTTCACAGCAACAAGCACGGGCCCAATGTAGGTGTATATTCTGTAAGGACGAAAATTAGGTATTTACATCTGGGAATATGAGATACAATTGTTTCTGTAGAGATAAATCTTATGCTATGTCACAAAATGCATATCACACAAACCGAAATATTCTGAGACCTGATTCTTACTGTTCTTCCTAGCCTTGTTATTGATTAATGTCACAGATTTCTATGAAGCACTATTTGTTTTATATTCCAAGCAATAATTTTTCACACAAAGACAGTTAAATGAGCAAAATTTCTTTGTGCAAATTGCAATAAAAAAAAACAATTT